CCCAAACCAAACTAGTCCCACCTGCCTGTGCATGGCCCATATCCTTCTAAACCTTTCCTATTCATAAACTTATCCAATGTCTTTTAAACGTTGTAATTGTACCCGCATCCACCACTTCCTCAGAGAGTTCATTCCGCACGCAAACCGCTCTCTGTGTAAAAAATTGGCCCCCATGTCTTTTTTAAATCTCTCTCCTCTCACCTTAAAAATATGTCCCCTAGCCTTGAAATTCCCCACCCTAGGTGGCAATGCCTGTACACCCCTGTATGTACTACTTTCTCTGGTAGTTCATTCCAGGCAAGAACCACTCTCTGTGTAAAATGGTTGCCCTTCGTTCCTTTTTAAATCTTTCTCCTCTCACCTTAAAAATACACTCCCTAGTCTTGAAATCCCCCATCCTAGGGAAAAGACCCTTGCTATTCACCTTATCTATGCCCCTCATGTTTTTATAAATCTCAATAAGGTCACCCCTCAACCCCTATGCTCCAGTGAAAAAAGTCCCAGCCTTTCCAGTATATTTTATATCTCAAACCCCCCATTCCTTGCAACATCCTGGTAAATCTTTTCTGAACCCTCTCCAGCTTAATAAAATCCTTCCTATGGCAGGGTGATCAGGACTGGACACAGCACACCAGAAGAGGCCTCACCAACGTCCTGTACAACCTCAACATGACGTCCCAACTCCTTTACTCAAAGGTCTGAGCAATGAAGGAAAGCGTGCTAAATGCCTACTCAACCACCCTGATTAATGTTAGTTGTCCTTTCCCTAGGGTGGGGGATTTCAAGACTAGGGGACACATTTTTAAGGTGAGAGGAGAGGGATTTAAAAAAGGCATGAGAGGCAAATTTTTTACACAGAGGAATGAATTTCTTGAGAAAATGGAGGATGTGGATAAAATTACAATGTTTAAAAGGCATTCAGATAAGTACATGAATAGGAAAGGTTTGAAGGGATACGTGCCAGGAACAGGCCGGTGGAACTAGTTTAGTTTGGGATTATGGAAGGCATGGACTCGTTGGACTGAAGGGTCTGTTTCCATGCTGTATGACTCTATGATTATCATTGTAGGAATGCACCATTGCATCAATGTGCAAGTTATGAAGTAGTCAGCTATTCAATGATATTTACAACTTGCAAATTGTAAATGAAAAGGAACTTTGAAGTTTAAATCAACCCAACATTTTTAATGAATAGCTAGTAATCTGGCTGATTGGTTGCTTGCACATTGTAGAAACCACCCCATTTTCATTCCATTTGTCACAATAGAATGAAAAGTTGAATGGTTCTTTTACGGGTGAGCCATCAATCTGCTCAACGAACTGAAAATCTTTGTCCTTCATGTAGATTTGTGATGACTATCTTCTAATCACATCAAAGCTGACATGTTAAATTTAACATTTTTTAATAGTTTGCATATGGGTAATACAAAAGAAGTATTTGGTATGTCTTTGTTACTTAAGGCTCGGAAAGTAAATCCTGTGTTAAATAAGTTAGCTGAGGTTACTTGTACTGAGGCTGAGGCTGAAGGAGTTCTGGAGTGCTATTACATTAAAAACAGAGTGCTCACAAGGAAGTGGAGACATCCTCACAGGCTTGCAGACAAAGAATGGATGATTGTTCATTGGGTAGTGGTACCACTCAGGTATTGTAAGATGTTGCGAGTAGCTCATGAGATTCCTAATGCAGAAAAACTCGACCATCAATAAAATCAGCATTTTATCTGGCCCAGACTTCATAAGAAGTAGGGCAATTCTGTAACATTTACCATTCCCCCCGAAAGCCTCAACATATGATTAAACATGATGTGGAGGTGCTGGTGTTGGAATGGGCTGGACAAGCTCAGAAGTCACACAACACCAGGTTATAGTCCAACAGATTTAATTGAAATCAAGCCTATTGGTCTATAACCTGGTGTCATGTGACTTCTGACTTTAAGATTCAACAAAATTAAAACAAAGAACTGCTGGAAATTTGAAACAAAAACAGAAATTGCAGGAGAAACTCAGCAGGTCTGGCAGTCTTCTGTGAAGAGAAAGCAGAGTTTAAACCAGCTTCTTTAGTACCCATACCTGTTCTTGAAGAACCATTCAGTTGAGTTTTAGTAGATTGTTCAGGATTATTGTCCAAAATTATAGCAAGACTCAATTCCTTCATTAGATGCTTGTATTGACAGAGTCAGAAGTACCTCATTTCTTTCTAAAATTGATCTATTGAAGAGGTAGTGGCAACTATGTTAACATCAAGGACTAAGGAGATCTAACTTTGTCATACCAAATGGCTTATATCAATGTCCAGTCATGCCCTGTAGGTTTAAAAATGCCCTAGTTATATTCCAAAAACTTATGAATCAGGTTGTAGCTGAAGTACCTAACTTACTAATGTTATAATTTACAGTAATGCACAGGAAGAACGTGTAAAACAATTAGAGCACATGTGTAAGCAATTGCAATTAGCTGGCTTAGTAATAAATCTAAGTAAAAGTGAAGTTGCAAATGCAAGAGTAACTTACCTAGAACATATCATAGAACAAGGGCAAGTGTTGCTAAGAAAGCAGAAGTGAAGGCGCTGATAGAATTCTCCATTCCCAAAACTCAATGGGAAATCATGGACTTTTTAGGAATATGTGGGTTTTTTAGGAAATTTGTGCCTAACTTCAGCACAATAGATGTACCGCTCACACATTTGTTACAAAAACAGACAAAAGTGGAATGGTCAATAGAATGCCAAGCAGCCTTTGATTGAAAAACCAATCAACAGATTTTCTGTGGGCAAAACTGTCCTGAACACACATCTATCATGGGTGCTACCAACACTTCATTGGAAGTCAGCCCTTTCATAACTCAGGAATTGTGAAAAGTACTTCATAAATGCCAGTCTTTCAATTAAAAACAGATTTAATGAAGAAAAACACACACTTCACAGTAGTTGGATGAAATGAAATTTGGCACTGAATCACAATAGGAGCTATCAGAATAGATGTCCAAAAGTTTTGTAAAAGATTTTAATGTCTTAAAGTTGGTGAGAAATACAGTATATAGGGTTTTAAAGGGCTCTTGTGGTTCAGTTGCAATGTCCCCACCTGTGCGCTGGAGCACCTGGGTTCAAATCCCAACTGCTCCAGAGGAGTCATAGCACATCTGAATAGGTTAATTCAAAATATCTGTTGGGTTGAGGGAGAAAATTGCACTGCTGAGGCAGGGATAGGGGTGCCAATTGTGATTAAATCTATTCCCGAAAGCTTCATCACCTGACTTGCCCCATGCTGCAACCAACACATCCATCCTCATCAAAAACAGAAATTGCTGGTGAAACTCAGCAGGTCTGGCAGCATCTGTAGAAAGACTCTTCATCAGAACTGACTTTCTTCCCACACCTGCTGCCAGATCTACTGAGTTTCACCGGAAATTTCTGTTTTTGTTGCACATCTCTGGCATTCACAATTCTTTGTGTTACATCTGTCCTTGTGTCACACTGCCTTCTGACATGAACCGGACAGCAATGAGATTCACCAGCTAATTGGATAATGCTTGACTGTCATCCAAGCAGCCTGTTTTCAGTTTTTTATATATTATGTGACGATAAATGTTCAGATAAAATGATGACATTTTTGATTGTCCCAGTGATATTTCTGCAGGATTTGTGCACAGTAGTATCCTGCAGAAATTGATGTTCAGTTCCCGGACACACCAGGCCAATGCTGGAGGGCTGGAACATTTTGGTGTTCTGACGGTTAAAGAGCAGGGCAAGAAGCTTGGACGAGAGGAGGGCAGGCCTTTCACTTTTTAAAATGCATTTATTGCTTATCCCTAGTTGCTCTTGAGAAGCTAGTGCTGAGTTACAATCTTGAATCAGTGCAATCCATCTGCTATAGATAGTCCCTCAGTGCAATTAAGGAGGGTGTTCCAGGATTTTGACCCAGCGACAGCGAAGGAACAGTGTTATAGTTCCATGTCAGGATGGTGAGTGGTTTGAAGGGGAACTTACAGGTGATGGTGTTCACACGTATCTGCTGCCCTTGACCTTCCAGATGATAGTGGCTGTAGGTTTGGAAGGTGCTGTCTAAGGAGCCTTGGCGAATTTCGGAAGGGCATCTTATAGATGGTATACGCTGCTGCCGCTGGGCATCGATGGTGGAGGGAGTGAATATTTCATAGAATCATAGAATCCCTGCAGTGTGGAAACAGGACAAGCTCACACCGCCCCTCTGAAGAGCATCCCACCCAGACCCATTCCCCTACATTTCACATATGTAACCCACCTAACCTAAACATCCCTGGGCACTATGGGCAACTTTGCATTGCCAATCCACCTACCCTGCACATCTTTGGACTGTGGGAGGAAACTGGAGCACCCGGAGGAAACCCATGCAGACACGGGGAGAATGTGCAAACTCCACGCAGTCGCCCGCTGGTGGAATCGAACCTGGGTCCCTGGTGCTGTGAGGCAGCAGTGCTAACCACTGAGGCACCATGTCGCCCTGTGGTGGCTGTGGTGCCAATTCAGTGGGCTGCTTTGTCCTTGACAGTGTCAAATGTCTTGAGTGTTGTTGGAGCTGCACTCACCCAGGCAATTGGAGAGTATTCCATCACTCTGCGGAGTTCAGAGCAGGGAAGAGGGTGGGGAGACGGGGTTGGTGAGTGTGGGGAGCCATGCAGTTGGATCCTGCTGTGCAATGGAGGTGAGAGAGTGGAACCTTTCATTGAGAGTGGAGGGAAGGTCCATTCTTCCGACCTATTGTTGCTAAGGCTGAGAGTGGGTGGGAAAAGGGAGACATGGTTTGATTCAGACTTCCGGTGTCTCCAATCGATTCGCCCACACCTTCCGGTGGTCCCGCCCCCTCCGATTGGCGGCTGCCCGGACCAATCGGCGGTGGCGACCCTGGAGAACTTGCATTACGATTGGTCCGCACTATGCCAATCATCGGGAGGTAGGCAGGGTCGTATCCTATTGGTGGATAGCTGCGTCAATCGAATTAAGGCAGCCAATGGGAGCGACCGAACATGGGAGGGCGGAACGGGTATCGACTTGTGGAGAAAAAAACCCGATTAGCGAGAGACAGAAAAATAAAAATTATTTAAATTGGAGACAGTTTAAACCCAGAGGCCAGCGATTCTCGATCTGCCCCTCCTTACGATTTATCAGGTAATATAGCCGCCGATACCAATCCGATTAGAATCGGTTATCTTACCGATTATTAGCGATTATCAAAACCTGGTCCTGGCAAGGAGCCGATTAATCGGAATCGCTCAACTAATCGATTTCCCACCGATATGGGACAGTTATTGGGGTCCGGAATCGGACCGATTTTCACCAGACCATCGACGCAACCCCCGCCCACCGTCATGGGAGAAATAATCGATTTGTTTTGATTGTCGATATTGGAAAGGTTTGGGGTGTTTACAGACGATTATAAATATAAAATTCGATGCTGGACCGCGACTTTAGCGTTTTTTATGTCTTAGAATCGGCTCTGTTTGTGAATAATCGATTCTTGTGGGGGAGGGGGGAGGAAGGCGTGAGAAAACGAGAAGGACAGGTTACACTTCTCTCTAATTCAGTGAGAGACTGGGATGTAAAACGAAAATAAAAATATAGATTTATTCTGAATTAAAAATATTTAATTATGAGACTTTTCTGTTTCTGAGATCATAACCCAGTTACGTTGGTTTATTAAAGATCTGATTAATTGCCCAGAAATTGGCAAATGAAAGCAGCAATCGGAAAGTTTCAGCTGAGATTTGAACTATCGATCTTGTTCACTCTTCCCTCTTCCCCCTCTCCTCTTCCCTCTTCCCCCTCTCTTCCCTCTTCCCCCTCTCCTCTTCCCTCTTCCCCCTTCTCCCCCTCCAGTCTCCTCCACCCCCCCAAATCCCCTCCTCTCCCCTCTCTCTCCTATTCCTCCCTTTTGCCTTTCATTTGCTTCAAACCCTTTCTCTCTCCTGTACCCTCCGTCTTCCCCCGTCTCTTTTGATTTGACTTGCTTTGTTATTGTCACATGGACCGAGATACAGTGAAAAGTACTGTTTTGCGTGCTCCACAGGCAGATCATTCCTTACATAAATACATCAGAGCTCTCTATCCCCTTCCTGTACTCTGTCTCATCATTGTTTGAGATTCAACACGATAACAGTGGTGTCATCGCCTTCCCTCTCTCTTTCCTATCCCCTCCCTATTTCCCCTGCCTCTCTTCTATCACTGCCCTCTCACCTCTCTCATGTTGCCTACCCCTTTCTCCCTGTCTCCTGTCCCCTCCCCCCTTTCTTTTCCCCACTTTTCTCCCCACTCCATGCCAACACCTTGACCTTTCAGATTTGACTTACCAGCCAATGAACTCTCTTTGTCAGTGCAATATAATGTTCCTTCCTTTGAAATTTTGACATTCTTGCATCTGTCCTGACACATGCAAGACAGAAGGTTTCACAGCATTTATTCAGCAATAGTCAAGGTCTGTCTGACCAGTTAACTCTTGGTTGATAAGATTTGTAACAGAGGCACCTGCTAAGTGCAAAGCCTTTGAAAAGAACTGAGCATTGCATCATATAGAAAGTATTGTTGATCTAGAGGGCATATCATCAAGAAATGAACAAATGTTATGATCCCAGCCACTGTTCCCGCTAAGATGTTAAGCCACTTGGAAGTGCTGTGCACAACAGTTGCTATGCCAACACATTGACTTAAGGTTTCAGAAGCTGCTGAGCGCACCTATGTTGGAGGTCCTTGTGGTGGCAGGAAAAGTTAGAAGGCTCATCCATCCCAGTGGATGATACTACCTGACAACGTCGATCACAGAATGAAATCTGGCCTGAAAAATCCTTGTAAAATTTCCTTTAACATGGTCATCATTTGCATGAGGTTGTAGAGTTTCTTCAACACAGAACAGAAGCTTATTACACAAAAGATGAAAGCGAAAAATCAAACAAATCAAGCTACTGAGATGTAGAATACAGTTAGAGTAGTCTTGAATCATCCTGCAAAATGAAGTTTTAACCTATTCCCCATCATTTTCCTGCAATTCAAATCCAGAGAAATTATACCTCCATAGCAAGTATTAAGCATACTTAACTGATTCTCTGGTGTACTGTGTGATCTTTTTACATGAATATTTAAGAAATTGAGAGCTTAGACTTTCTCAGCTTCTAATAATGTTAACTACACTTTTTGTAAACTACCCTGATATATATATACTGGATTAGGCCACCGTTCTGCAAGAACGGTCCAATCTAGGTTATTTTTAGGCGTTTTAAAATAGTTGCATGTGGGTTGAATTCCAGACTCTCAAAATGTATTAATCACATACCTTTCATCATGCATAGAGGGTCCAGCTCCAGTGAGCCCTTGCAGATTTGGAAGGGCATTGGGAGATGAGCAAGCTAATGTTTCACATCTGACAATGCCACACAGTTAAGTGTCTGTAGTATGTGTAATGTAGAGTTTATGCAACATTACAGAAAGTCTACAGAATGCCTGATGCGTGGATGGCTGGATAACAGAGGTAGAGATGCGTTTTGTATAAGGTAATGTAGAGCCAGAGATGTGTTAAGCATAAGGCAACACAGATAATGCATCTCCATTTCTATGGATAATGGAGAGAGGGGGTTAGCTGTCACATGCCATGGTATAGAGTGTGAGTTTGAAATTACATGTTGGTTGGAAAGAACAGAAATTTATAGACCAACAAGGTATAATATGGGATGATAGATAGAAGGATCCTTCTGCACAGGAGAATTTCTCAGTATGCAGAATCTCTAATTCAACTTGGCAGCGTTGTATGGTGGCACATTGTCATCTGGTTTGAGATGTAGGCCCCTTGCAGGAAGCAGATATAGTAGTTATTCTTGTCCAGTGGTCAGGAGAGTTTGGACCCATTCTTTACAAAAGTAAGACCCTTATGGCTGTTGCTGTTATTGTCGTGAGTTCAAAGTCTCAGAACACTCCCTTTAAATGCATTTCACGTGCGCATCCTGTGTTGATTTGCCTCCTGCACAACCACAGTCAAATGGGGCAGGGTAGGAGTGTATCAAATTCTATTCTGTGTATCATGACTTGCAACCTTTATGAAGAATCCATGAAATGAAGCATTGGTAATTGGACATTGCAGATGTACTGAACGCAACAAGGTAGCCATTGCTAAGATGGGGAGGAGTTTTAGTTTACACAGTGAGTTATGACTTCGGATGTGCAGTCAGTGAAAGGATATCAGAAGCAGGTTCCGTAGAAACTTTCAAAAAGCAATTTAATAATTGTTGAAGGGTGACATTTGCAGGACTGTGGGGCTAATTGGATGGCTCTTTCAAAGGGTTGGCACACGTATGATGGTTTGAATGGCCTCATTCCATGCAGTGTCATGCTATGAAGTCCTATCAGTCTGGGTCCTGAGTTGAGCCCTTGGGCCAATTCTTGTTCTCCACAAACTACTTTATATTGTGTTCTTTCAGCGCCTATGCCAGTAATAGGCTGAGGATTAGGGATTAGCAGCCATTCAATGCCAGTTTTTTTGAAACAGGGCCTGGGCAGGCCACTCTTACTCTGTAGTCAACACTCAATTCGCAGCAAGCACATCAGGCCTGTTGTCTGTAAAATTTTCCAAGTGCATAGCAACAATTTACCACGTTCACTTTGATTGTGCCTTCCAGTCCCGATATCTTACAATGATAAAGGCAAATGCATCAGGGGAACCACCATCTCCCAATCACACAAAATCCTAACAAGGAGACATTTTTTGAGAAGTCTTTCATGCGATGTGGATGTCATTATCTGGGCCATCATTTATTTCCTATTCCCCTTGAGAAGGTGATTGTGAGCTACCTTCTTAAACTAGTGTAGTGCATGGTACCATTGTTAGCTTGGGGAAGCTCAGCATGGACTCCTTGCTTTAGAAAGACTGTAATGCTGAACTTTTACCTTCATTTCTTTATTTTTCTAATTTACACCTGAGATTTTATACCTAGGTATCTTTGTACTTAAAATGGCTCTGGAAATGAGAGCTTAGACTTTGTCAGCTTCTAATAATGTTTGCTACACCTTTTACAAACTGCCATAGGGTAAATAACTTTCTATTAACATTACATGGGAGTTCTTGCTCTCTGATATATACTGGATTAGGTCACTGTTCTGCAAGAACTGTCCAACCTAGGTTATTTTTAGGGGTTTTAAAATAGTTGCATGTGGGTGTTGGTTAAATTCCAAACTCTCAAAATATCTTTTATATGCATTAATCACAGACCTTTCATCATGTATAGAGGCTGAGGGTCCAGCTCCAGTGAGCCCTTGCAGATTTGGAAGGCAGTGGGAGATGAGCAGGCTAATGTTTCACGTTTGACAATGTCACACAGTTAAGTGTCAGTATCATGTGTAATGTAGAGTTTATGCAGCATTACAGAAAGTCTACAGAACGCCTGATGCATGGATGGCTGGATAATGGACGTAGAGATTTGTTTTGTATAAGGTAATGTAGAGCCAGGAATGTGTTAAGCATGATGCAACACAGATAATTAATCTCCATTTCTGTATACTCTTCGCTGTACTCCTGTATCCCTGTACTTGTGTACTGTGACAATAAATCTAATTCTAATTCTAAATTCAGGGTTTTGACCCAGTGATAGTAAAGGAACAAATGATATATTTCCAAGTTAGGACAGTGTTAGTTTGGGAGGGAGCTTGCAGGAGGTAGTGTTCTCACACATTTGCTACCCTTGTCTTTCTAGGAGGTACAGGTCATGGGTTTGGTATGTCCTTAGTGAGGGACAATCTTGGTGTGCTAGCTGCACTCTTCTGCCCCTTGTTTCTGTGTGTTCCTTCACTTTCATTGGATCAGTACATTGTAATTCCCTGTCTAACACCATTGAGAGCACCATCACCATGAAGACTGCAGTCACTAAAGAGGTAGATCCACTTATGCCTTGGTTGAGCAATGAAGGATGGGCCATTATTTTGACATTATGAAACTTAGGAATCGGAATAGGCCATTCTGTCCATCGAGTCTGCCCTGACACTCAATACGTTCATGGCTGATCAGACACTTCAGTGCTTTTTACTCATTCCATTTCCATAACCCTGCACACTGTTGGTAATCAGAAATCTATCAATCTCTATTTTAAATATACTCAAAAACTGAGCTTCCATAGCCCTCTGTGGTGGAGAATTTCATTCCTCTCATTCTTTGATACTCCAGAAAATACAATCTATCTATTCCAGCCTGTAAATTATTCAGTGATGGAGCACCACAAGGGTCTGGAATAGAGAATTCTGTAGATTCTCCACGCTTTGAGTGAAGACATTCCTCCGTACGTTAGTTCTAAATGATTGGCCCTTTATCCTGAGACCACATCCCCTTGTTTTCGAGTCCTCAACCTGTGGAAGCAGTCTCTCAACATTTGCCCCATTAAATTCCTTCAGAATTTTGTGCTTTTAAATAAGATCACTCAAATTCTTCTAAACTCCAGAGAATAAGCCCCAATTTATTAATTATCTCACCATTGGACAACTCTCTCATTTAGTGAAGGAAATTCTAATGCAAAGGTGATTGTGGCATTTGAGAGCAAAGAGGAGAATTTTAAAATGAAGACCTTTGACCTGGAGCCAGTGTTGGTCAGGCTGAAAGGGGTAATGGGACTCAGCGCAAGTTAAGAGACTGGCAACAGAGCTTTGGATGAAAGACAATTTAGGAGTAAAATTGGGAAGCACAGAAAAGAGAAATCTGAAATCTGCTTCCCTGAGGCTGTGAATGGGAGAGGGCAATTAACATTTTGAAGTCTGGGATTACTCATATAGTTAAGGAATGTGGGACAGAGTTGGGTAATTGGAGTTCAGATCATCAGTCATGATCTAATTGACTGGGAGAACTGAGCTGGAAGAGCTGAACAACTAATTTATATTCTTAGTTAAAAGGGTTTTTTAATTGCGTGTTGAATGCGCGATCATTTTGGTGGAGGTAATCCTTTTATGGAGGCATGAGGTCTTTTGGGAGAGTTGGGATCTGCACTGATAATTGTTAAGGCCAAGAACGGATTGATAGCCCTATGCAAATTTAAATAACTCACATAAGATCATCAGGCTGCTGGGCATAACTTGGGCTCTTGTTGCAGTTTCAGGAGGTCTAAGAAGTGTTTTTGACTTTGACTTTTACTCAACTATAAAAGTACAGGAGTACAGTGAAAAGTGTATAATGTCGCCATGCAAGGTGCCATCTTAGATACAGGTTCCCAGGTACAGAATCCTAAGAACAAGATAAAAAGAAAGAACAAAATTAAAAGTTAAACATTGCAGTGATTATAGTACAGTCATATACCAAGTGACATGTCCACTGCTTCACATTTTGAACATATCAAAGTACAAATTAGGAGTAGCTCTGGGTTATGTGGCCCTTGTAGCCTGCACCTCCACTGAATAAGATCAGGCCTTATTTAATTCTGGCTTCAGACCAACTTTCCCACCTAACCTGGATGCTCTTTGACTCCCTTGCTGATCAAGAAATTATCTACTCCTACCTTAAAAATGTTCAGTGACTCCCCTCCTCCATCACTGTCTGGGGAAGAAAGCTGCTCAAACTCACGGCCTGTGAGAGGAAAAATAACATTGGTCAATGGTGAATGTTCGCATTAGTGATCTTGATGGTCTGCAACATGAACGTGTCTCTGTATATCTTGTGGCAGCATCAGAATAGGAAAAAGCTATTCAGCCCCTTGAGCCTATTCCATCTTCAAAGGCTCTGGTTCTGCCACCTTTTGAGGCAGAGAGTTCCAAAGACTCATGAACCTCTGTGGATAAAATTCTGTTCTTAACTCTGTCTTAAATGGATGACCTGTTATTTTGAAACAGTGACCACTCGTTCTCAATTCTCCCACAAGAGCAAACATCCTTTTACACATCCATCCTGCTTAGACCCCTCAGATCTTATATATTATAATCAAATTGCCTCTTAACTCTTCTAAACTAGGATGATACCGGTTATGGATGGATTGACTTACGAGGAGAGTTTGAATAGATTGGCCGTGTACTCATTATAAGAGAATGAGGGGAGACCTTATTGAAACTTGACTTGACTGGATAGATGTGGGAATGTTGTTTCCCCTTGTGGGAGAGTCTAGAACCAGAGGGCATAATTTCAGAATAAGGGGTCACATATTTAAGACACAGATGAGGAGGAATTTCTTCCGTCAGAGAGTTGTGAGTCTGTGGAATTCGTTACCACAGAGGGCTGTTGAGGCTGGCATTAAGTGTATTCAAGGCTGAGATAAACAGATTTTTAATCAGTAAGGAAATCCAGGGTTATGAGTGGAGTTAAGGATTGTCAGAACAGCCCTGATGTCATTGAATGGCAGAGCAGACTTGATGGGCTGAACAATCCAATTATATTCCTCCATCTTATGTGATGAAGAACATGTTTGTGCAGCAAGTGGGAATGGCCTGGAGCTCACCGCCTAAGAGAGCAATAGAAGTGAGGGTGCTGAATAATTTCAAAAATATTCAGTGGGCTTCAGAGGGAAGTAGACTCGCAATGGATGTTGTAATGATTATTTGATTCTATAGGAGTTGGACAGTATCTTCATGATAAGACAGGTTAGTTTTCCCACAACCTGCTTAGCCTGTTACTTGAACATGGAGAGACCAATTACAAATTGAAGAAACAACCAATTAATTAAAAATATTCTTGCACTCTCTCTCCCTGTACCACTGTACCACCCACCCTAAATGCATTTGCACTAGCCCCACTCTTCAGTGTTCTGCCACACTGAATTCCCTGTCTCTGAGCTTGCATCTCAAACAATCCGCCCACTCATTACATTTTCACACCAATCCACTGCTGTATCCTTACACTGCGAGTTAATGGCTGGTGTCCTAAAGAGTCCTCTCACGCTGTTCTCTTGTGTTTCAGCCAGTGGACACGCATTAGAGGGAGATGCAGGTCGCTGAAGAGGCATGTGCTCAGCTGGAGGATGAGCTGCTCTGTAAGTCAGTGTCATTTCCGCATGAGACAAACTGACGTGACCCCACCCCAGCCACACATGCACACAGAGGGACGCGTACACACATCACCCCACCCCCACCTCACTGCGGGTTGAACCATGTCAGAGTTTGCTGTCAGCATCCTAGACTGACTGTGGAAGCTGCTTTATTCATTTTGCAAAGCCAAGGCAACGGTTAGCTTTCTAAATTAGAGTGGAGACTCAATTATCCTTCCCAAATTTACTGCAGAATGTTCACAGAGTTGAGCTTTATTTAAGTTAATAAAAGATAAGAGTGCTGGAGAAACTCAGCAGATCGGCCAGCAACTCATAGAGTCAGAGAGGTCTACAGCACTGAAAAAGGCCCTTTGGCCCATCGAGTCTATGCCAGTCAGGAAAAAAGAACACTTAACTATTCTAAGATAACAAGGTGTAGAGCTGGATGATCACAGCAGGCCAAGCAGCATCAGAGGAGCAGGAAAGCTGACGTTTCGGGTCTGGATCCTTCTTCAGCAAAAAAAACTACTCCTCTGATGCTGCTTGGCTGCTGTGTTCATACAGCTCTACACCTTGTTCTTTTAGATTCTCCAGCATCGGCATTTCCTACTATTACTTAACTATTCTAATCCCATTTTCCAGCACTTGGTCCATAGCTTTATATACCTTTGCATTGCAATTGCATGTTAAATACTACTTAAATGCTATGAGGATTTCTGCCTCTACTATCCTTACAGACAATGAGTTCCCAATTCCTACCACCGTCTGAGTGAAAGGTTTTTTTCCTCACACCTCCTCTAAACCTCCCACCATTATTTAAAATCTGTGCTCCCCTTGTCATTGATCCCTCCACAAAGGGGAAAGTTTCTTCTTGTCTGCCTTGTCTGTGCCCCTCTTTAAGTTAGACATCTCAATCATGTCTTCCCTCAGTTTCCTCTGCTCCAAGGAAAATAACCCCACTCTATCCAGTGTTTCTTCATAGCTAAAACTCTCCAGCCCAGGCAGCATCCTGATAGATCTCCTCTGCACCCTCTCCAGGGCTATTGAATCCCTTCTATAATGTGGATTCCAGAACTGCACGCAATACTCTAACTGTGGGCTAACCAACATTATACACAGTTCCTGCATCACCTCCCTGCTGTTAAGCTCTGTGCCTCAGCTAATAAAGGCAAGTATCCCATATGCCTTCTTGACTTTATCTACCTGTCCTGCTACCTTAAGAGACCGGTGGACATGCACACCAAGGCCTCTGTGATCCTCGGTGCTCCCCAGGGTCCTAGCATTCGTCATCTATTTCCTTAGATAACAAGGTGTAGAGCTGGATGAACACAGCAGGCCAAGCAGCATCAGAGGAGCAGGAAAGCTGACGTTTTGGGTTGGGACCCTACTTCAGAAATGGGGGAGGGGGAAGGGGATTCTGAAATAAATACAGACAGAGGGGGAGGCGGATGGAAGATGGATAAAGGAGCAGATAGATGGTGAGGAGACAGACAGGTCAAAGAGGCGGGGATGGAGCCAGTAAAAGTGAGTGTAGGTGGGGAGTTAGGGTGGGGGTAGGTCAGTCCAGGGAAGATGGACCTGTCAAGGAGGTGGGATGAGGCTGGTAGGTAGGAGGTGGGGGTGGGGCTTGAGGTGGGAGGAGTGGATAGGTGGAAGAAAGGATGGACAGGTTAGGGAGATGGGTATGAGCTGGGCTGGTTTTGGGATGCGGTCAGGGGAAGGGAAATTTTGAAGCTTGTGAAGTCCATATTGATATCATTGGGCTGCAGGGTTCCCAACCGAAATATGAGGTGCTGTTCCTGCAACCTCATCTATTTCCTTTCCTGTTTTGTCCTTCTCACAAGGAGACAGAAACAGAGTTAATGTTTCAAGTGCAATAGGACTTTCAATCAATCCATGGGCAAAATGTCATATTGGACTCGAAACATTAACTTCTGTTTCTCTCTCTACAGATGCCAGACCTTTTCATTTTCTCCCCATGCTAATTTTATTTCAAATCTCCAGCACCCGCAGGAGTGTTTTATCTTGTGGAAGCTAGCTTCACCAAGCTCCTGCACTGTAGTCCAGCAAAGACTAAACTTCTTTTACGAACCAAAGCGCACTTATCATCAATCTGTGTGAGAAGAACGAGGAAATAATAGTTGAAATCTGGATACTAATTGTGTGGTTATATTATGTAATTGTCAGGATTACAGAGCTAACGAGATGGAACTGGGTATTTTTATTTTCTTCTAATAATTTGCTACCTTGCTTTGCCAGTTTCCATTACCTCTTGTTAATTCCCCACATCCATTCTGCAGAGTTGTGGTGGTTCTTGTTGAGAGCAGAGACTGTTGTCGACTCTGTGCTGACTGAATAATGAAGTCCCACAGACACCACCAAAGTTGGGAAGAAATAGATGCAGTGTTACCAGTATTTCACAGTAACGGATAGGTGACCCAGTTTTTCTTCAAATCTTTTCTTTTTGTAACAGCAAGTCTGTGGTGAGAAGATTTAATTCATGATAATTTTTCCAGTCGTGGAATCTTGTGGATAGCCCACTTCTGCAATTCCATGATTGACAGCCATATCTTCAGCTGCCCAGCACTAAATCTTACGATTTTCCTCACAAAACCTTTCTGCCTCATTGTTGCTTTCAAGACCTTTCTTAAAACTTAACGTTTTGACAAAGCTTTTGGTCATATACTCGTACTTCCCATTGACTAGAATAATTCTCTTTGTGAATCATCTTGAGACATTTTACTATGTTAAAGGTCCCATGTTGGGAGAGGTCGGTGGTAATGTCACTGGTCTAGTAATCCAGGAGCACAAGTTGAAATCTATGGCAGCCAGTGGAATTGAATGCAATTAAAACTGGAACATAGAGCTAGTCTTAGTGAAATTCTTCCACTGTCTCACTGCACCACCCAACCTGCATGCAATCACACCAGCCCCACTCTTCAGTGTCTTGCCACATTGACTCCCCTGTCACTGCGCTCACATCTCAAACCATCTGCCTACTCTTTACATTCTCACGTAAATATCATTGATTGTTGTAAAAGCCCATCTGGCTCACTTAGAGTCATAGAGTCATACAGCCCGGAAACAGACCCTTTGGTCCAACCAGTCCATGCCACCCATAATTCCAAACTAAACTAGTCCCACCTGCTGGCCCATATCGGTCCAGACATTTCCTGTTCATATACTTATCCAAATGTCTTTTAAACATTGTAACTGTAGCCGCATCCATCTTTTCCTCTGGAAGTTCATTCCATACATGAACCACTGTCTGTGTAAAAAATTAGTCCCATGTCTTTTTTAAATCTTTCTTCTCTCACCTTAAAAATATGCCTCCTAGTCTTGAAATCCCCCTCCCTAGGGAAAAGACACTACCATTCACCCTATCTATGCCCCTAATGATTTTATAAATCTCTATAAGGTTACCTCTCAACCTCATACACTGCAGTGAAAAAAGGTCCCAGCCTATCCAGCCTCCCCTTATAACTCAAATCCTCTATTCCAGGAAACATCCTGATAAACCTCTTCTGACCCCTCTCCTTGAAAAGGAAGTCTTTGTGTGACTTCAGGCTCACCACAATGTAGTTGAGTCATAACCACAACTCATTGACTGTGGGAGCTTGCAATGTGTATCAGATACTTGTACGTCCTCAGTTGAAATGTTGTGTCCGGTTCTGGGCACCAGACTGGATGGGAAAGCATAAGAGAGGCTACAGTAAAAGTTCACAAGAACAGTTTTGAGAATGAAGCACATCAGGTTTGTAGATTTGAGAAGTTGGGACTGTTTTCTTCGGAGAAGAGAAGGTTGAAATGTAATTTGGTAGCGGTCTTCAAGATTAAGAAGTCTAGACAAAGTAGATAGGGAGACATATTTCCCATCATTAGAAGGGTTGAGAACAGTAGAGCACAGATTAAAGGTTAATGTAGCAGTGAGAACATGAGAACATTTTGGTTAGGTTTTGGAAGGCACTGTCTGAGTGTGTGGTGGAGGCAGGTTGATTTTAGGGAAATGATGGGGCTGGACAGGCTAGATACTGGTAGAATATTTCTGATATTGGCAAGTCCAGAACCAGGGGTCAAAGTCTAAGAATAAGGGATAAGCCATTTCAGGACTGAGATGAGAAAGAATTTCTTCACTCAGAGTTGTGAACCTGTGGAATTCTCTGCCACAGAAAGCTGTTGGGGCCAGTTCATTAGATATATTCAAAAGGGAGTTGGACATGGCCCTTGCAGCTAAAGGAATCAAGGGCTATGGAGAGAGGGTGTAAATGGGATACTGGGATAGCATGATCAGCCATGATTGTATTGAATGGTGGTGCAGGCTTGAAGGGTCGAAGAGCCTACTCTTGCACCTATTTCCTATGTTTTTATGTAATGATAGTCATTGGAATAATAATTCAGTGGCCCAGGCTAATGCTGTAAGTCCATGATGGCAGCTAGTAGGATTTCAATTCAAATAATAGATCTAGAATGTAAAGCTAGCCTCAATAGTGGTGACTATAGAACCACCATCAATTGTTGTAAAAACCCATCTAGTTCACTAATGTCCCTTAGGGAAGGAAATCTGCCATCCTTACCTGGCCTAGCCAGCATGTGACTCCAGACCCACAGCAATGTGGTTGACTCTTAACTACCCTCTGAGATGGCTGAGTAAGCCACTTTGCTCACGGGCAGTTAAAGATGGGCTGGTCTTCCCAATGATGCCCACATTCCGTGAATGAAGAAAGGAAAAAATTTGGGAAGGATTTGAATTATTATCTGAAAAGGAAGAATGTGCAAGGTTACATGGAGTGGCATTAGGTGTTTTGCTCATTCAGAGAGCCAGTACAGAAACAATCTGAACGGCCTGTTCCTGTGCGCTAATAGTCCTGTGACAATGGGTGTGACTTTTTCTTACAATACAACAATGACTGCACTTCGGAAGTGCCTTATTGGGTTTAAAGATTAAAGGGACTTCTTGAGGCCCTGTGTAATTACAGTCCTTTCTGCTGTTACATGTGTTTGCTCAATGGAAATTGCCTTTAACACGCTTGATGAATAGGTGAACGCTGTTTGTAAAATGCAAACTTTCGCATACATGTGTTGGCGATTACACGATTCCATCCCCAACACTTTAAGTGTCACAATGTGCACAGGAATGGCAAAGCAGCAAAAACTGCATGCCTTTTTTAAGCCAACCCCCAAGAAACAGGGAGAAGACAATGAACCATAGCCATCCACTTCTGGATTAACTATTTTTCGTACTAACCACAAGTGCACCTGAAGGTGATGATGATGATCCTGATGACCCTCAGCCCTTGTCTTAACAACACAGCAACCTTGAAACCACCTTCCTCCCCCATCAAGTTATATTCAAATTTTTTTCAGGGTAAAGTGTTAAATTTGCTGTATTATTTCATTATTAGACGTGAATTTAACATTTATTTAAGTTGTGCTATCCTTTGTGTTAGGCTACTACATTTGTTTCGATTTTGAGTAATATTTTTGATGGCCGGCCCCTAACCCTATTTTTTCCATAAGCCCTGTTATTTTTATTGTGTGATTTTCTATAGCACGACATCGCACAAGAACGCACCTATCGCATTATTAACAGAAAGGACTATACAAATTCTTCTATTTGTTTTTAATTAGTTCATGGGGATGTGGGTATTACTGATGAGGTTGGAATTTATAGCTCATCCCTATTACCCCTAGAAAGGAAGGTGCTTTCTTGAACCATTGCAATCCATGTATTGAAATCCATGTCTGTTTTGCGAGAGCGTTTTAGGAAGTTGACCAGACACGAGAGTCTTTGCTTTACAACTAACCTCTGCACTCTGTTCCTCTTTCAGTTTGTGAGGACTGCCGGCTGTACTTCCGAGATTCCTGCCCGCAACATGGCACGCCAACATTTGTGTCTGACCGGCTGGTACCAGAGCGCATGCCCTCACGGGCACTGTTGACCCTACCTGAGGGCCTTGCCATCAAAGAGAGGCCACAGGGTGGGCTCGGTGTCTGGTGCACACTGCCTGCCATCCCGCGTGGTTGTATCTTTGGACCATTTGATGGGGACATCTTGACGGAAAAGAATGACTGTACTGTCTTTTCCTGGGCGGTAAGAATGTCATCAGTTGATCTTTCCTCCTGAATTCATTGCCAGTAAGCCAAATTCTGGGTGGTATAATGGCTTGATATGCCACAGAAGGGAGGCCGTTAGGTCCATCATGGCTGTGCCATCACTGTGAGCTATCCAAGTTATTTTACTCTCAATGCTCCTATCCTCCATGGCTGTACAATTGTTTCCATTTCCTATATTTTACCAAATTTCCTTTTGAAAGTTGAATTAGCATCTGATACCCTTTCAGGCAGGGTGTTCCAGATCATACCAACTCATCATGTGTCAAACCAGGTTCCTCCACATCTCACCTCCAGTTCTTTTGCTAATTAACTCGAATCAGTTTTCTTGGCCAGTGGAAACTCTACCAAAGCCCCTTACAATTTTAACATCTACGTGAGGAGGCTGCAAGAGCAGACCAGAGACATTGTGCTCAGATCACACCTCAGGAAGGGTGTTAGGAATTTCAATGGCGTTACCATCACTGAATCCCTCACTGTCAACATCCTTCGGGTTACCATTGATCAGAAATTCAACAGGACTCACCACATAAACACAATAGCTACAAGAACAGGTCAGAGGAATACTGCGACGAGTAACTCACCTCCTGACTCCCCAAAATCTGTCCACCATCTACAAAGCACAAGTCAGGAGTGTGATGGAATACTTCCCACTTGCCTGGATGAGTGCGGCTCCAGCAACACTCGAGCAGCTCAACCCCATCCAGTACAAAGCAGCCCACTTGATTGGCAGCACATCCACAAGCATCCACTCCCTCCACCACTGATGCTCAGTAGCAGCAGTGTGTACAATCAACAAGATGCACTGCAGAAATTCACCAGAACTCTTTAGACAGCATCTTCCAAACCCATGGCCACTTCCCTCAAGGAAGATGCATGGGAACACCACAGCCTGTAAGTTTCCCTCCAAGCCACTCACCATCCTGACTTGGAAATATATCACCTTTCCTTCACTATTGCTGGGTCAAAATCCTGGAATTCCCTCCCTAAGGGCATTGTATGCCTACCTACAGCATGTGGACTTCAGCTTAAGAAGGCAGCTCACCACTACCTTCTCAACGGCAGCTAGGGATGGGCAATAAATGCTGGGCCCAGCCAGCAATGCCCACGTCCCATGAGTGAATAAAAGACGTCTCTGTTTAATCTGCTGTCAACTTTCCCTGATCTTGGTTTCTCTAGTCTCGCCACCTTATCGAACATGGGGGTAGTGGCGGAGTGAAAACGTCACTGGAGTAGTAAATCCGAGACCTAAGCTAATGTTCTGGAGCATGGGTTAAAATCCCAGGCTGAAATTTTAATTCCTGTAATAAATCCATCATCTAAAGCTAATGTCAGTAAAGGCCACCATGACAGTGTCAATTGTTGTAGAAACCCATCTGGTTCACTGATACCTGTTTGGGAAGGAAATCTGCTGTCCTCACTTAGACTGGCCTAAGTTTGACTCCAGATCCACATCAATGTGGTTGACTCTGAGCTGCTCCCTGAAATGCCCTAGCAAACCACTCTGTTCAAAGGCAGATAGGCTTGGGCAACAAATGCTGGACTTGACAGCGATGTGCACATCTCATGGAAGCATAAGATGAAACATCCTTCGTCCCTGGTGTAAGGCCAGAAGATGTAGGAGCAGAAGTTGGCCATTCAGCCCATCAAGTCTCCTCCACCATTCTATAGGATCGTGGCCGATCAGATCATCCTGAACTCCACTTTCCTACCTTTTTCCAATAACCCTTGATTCCCTTACTGATTAAAAAACTGACTCACACAGCCTTGAATATATTTAATGACCCAGCCTTGACTACCTTCTGTGATAAAGGATTCTGCAGGTTCACCTCGCTCTGAGGAAAAAAGATCACCCTTGTCTCTGTCTTAAATTGTCCTGAGATTATGGCCCTAGTCCTAGACATTCCCACAAGGAGGAACAAGCTTTCCACCTCCATCCTGTCATTTGACCTCCTCTGGACCCCCTACCAAAGCCTCGTCAACTTTTCTCCGATGTGCTGATCCCTCCTTTTTGAAAAGTTATTGGAAATGTTTTCAGTTGTTATTTTCTTCTATTGCAGCTGCAAGAAAATGGATCCTATTACTACGTGGATGCATCTGATGAGTCGAAGGCTAACTGGATGAGGTATCAGAGAGATCTTACAGCACAGAAAGAGATCCTTCAGCCCATCGTGTCTGCGCCGGTCATCAAGCATCCATCTATTCTAATTCCATTTTCAGTACTTATCCTTATATGCTACGGCATTTCAAGTGTTCATCTAAATAGTTGTTAAATGTCTTAATGGTTCCTGTCTCTACCACCCTTTCCAGATACTCTTAACCCTCTAAATGAAAACAATTTTCCTCTAAACCTCCTGTGCCTTACCTTAAAACTGTAGCCTCTGGTTATTGACCCCTATAACAGAGGAAAGGTTTCTCTCTGTCTATTTCGGTCTTTGCCCCTCGGAACTTTGTACAGCGCAGTCAGACCCTGCTTCTATATTGAGGCAAACAATCTGAGCCTATTTGGTCTCCCTTCATATCTGAATTGCACCAGCCCAAGCCAAACATCCTGGTGAATCTCTTCTGCACCCACTCTATTGCAGTCACATTCTTCCTATAGTGTGGCAACCAAAATTAAACACAGCACTGCGGCTGTGGCATGACTAATGTTGTTGCTTCAGCAACTTGCTCTAATTCTATCCACTCCAGGCAGGGGATGTGGGGAGATGCAAAATGGTGGGAAAAAGAAAAACGAAGGTTAAAGTGAGTGAACATGAGGACACAGAGAGACGATATAAAATAAAGGGTACAATTTTCTAAAGACGATGCAGGAGCAGAGAGACCTGGCTGTAGTACATGCACTATTCACTGAAGGTTCAGAAGGTGAGTAACAAACTGCTCAGTATCCCAGGCTTTATCAATAGGGGCATAGAGTGGGAAAGCATGTTAAAGGAAATTATGTTAAACTTATATAAAATGCAGAGTTAGCCTCAACTAGAATATTATTGTGAGCATCACATTTGGAAAGAATGTGAAAGAATGACAGACAGTGCAGGTATGTGGAACTTCACTTGTGTAAATCGATTGACGAAATTGGGACTATGTTCTTTGAAAAGGAGAAGCTTGAGAGGAGATTTAATGGAGGTACTCAAAATTATGAGGGATTTGGACAGAGTAGATAAGGCAGTGTTGTTCCCAGTGGTGGGAGGATGAAAAACTAGAGGGCACAGATTGAAGGTAATTGTCAAAAGAAGCAACGGCTGTACAAAGACAAACTTCTGAATACGTTGTGTGGTCAGGATCTGAACCACACAATCCAAGCATGTGGTGGTGGAATGTTTGATTGAGGCATTGAAATGGGAATTGGAGCGTTTTCTGAAAAGGAGGGATGTGCATTATTATAGGGAGAAGCTGGTAGAATGACAGTGAATTGTTTCTGCAGAGGGTCAGTGTAGACACAATGGGCTGCCTCCAGTGCTATCATTATATGAGGAAGGCAGATATAATGGTGACAAAAAGAAGAGAATCAATATTAAGATGTGAGAACTAGTTTGGGGACACTGCACCTTGAGATGGCACTGGTATTCCAGTGAATCTGCTGTATGTTATACAGAATTGTTCATTGAAGGATCAGGATATGTGAGTCAAGTTTTATGACAAAACAATTTATTCATGCGTGGAGTCTGACTGCAGTGATATGTCACTGTGTGCTCTGCTTCACTGAATTATATTCCTGATAATTTAATCTGGCAACATTTTTTTGACAGACAGATTATTCTGGAGTTAGAGATGACTGCCCTGATATTTCAGTGTCACAAAACGCTTTGCTTTTTGCCTTAGAATTAGCAACGCAGTGCCCAGGCTTGTAGGGTTGGTATGAATCTCTACAGCAGTTTGTATGTAAAGGATGTTCCAGGGCATTTCATAGGGGTGTAATTTACACTCCTGCTCGTACATCTACCAGCCCTCCCTATCCATAACTCTTTTCTTCCAATTACCACCTTTTTGTCACAAATCTTTTGTGTTCTTGTTGCTACAGATTCCTATTTCCACATCACTTACAGTAAACGCCAATGTAAATGTGTCACACTATAATTACACTCTCTTGACACTACTGCTCCTGCATTTTTTATATTCCATCTCTCAACTCCTCGAACCTTACTACAGAGAAATCCCAGTGCTCCTGTACGCCTATCATATCGCTATACCTTGATCTCTCCAGGTTTTAGCATGTACTGTTGATTGAAATATAATTTTCTGAGGGTCTTGACAGGATGGATGTGGAAGTGATGTCTCCTGTTGTAGGAGAATCTAGAGCTAGGGCTCACTGTTTAAAAATAAGGCCATTTAATACAGAGATGAGAATTTATTTTCTTCCAGAGGGTCATAACTGTTTAGAACTCTCTTCCTCAAAAGGCTGTAGAGACAGCATCTTTGAATATTTTTAAGGCAGAAGTAGATAATTTCTTGACAATTAGAATTAGTTTTATTGTCACATATGCTGAAATCGTACAGTGAAAAGTTTAGAAATCACCACTTACATTGCTATCTTATGTACCAAGGTACAGATTCATAAGTACCAATTCTTAACGGAAAAAGTTGGAACATTAAGAATCATAGAATCACTACAGTGTGGAAGCAGGCCATTCAGACCATATCGACCTTCCAAAGAGCATCCCACCAAATCCCTGTAATTCCTTTGGCCAATCCACCTAACCTGCACACTATGGACAATTTTCCATGGCCAATCCACCTAACCTGCACACTATGGACAATTTCCCATGGCCAATCCACCTAACCTGTACACTATGGATAAGTTCCCATGGCCAATCCACCTAACCAGCATACTATGGCCAAGTCCCCATGGCAAATCCATTTAACCTACAAATCTTTGGACTGTGGGAGGAAACCAGATCACCTGATAGAAACCAGGAGAATGTGCAAATTCCACACAGACAGTTGCCCAAGGCATGAATTGAACCCAGATTCCTGGCGCTGTGAGGATTGTAGCCACTGAGCCATCATGCCACCCTGAAATAAAATGTGCAGCAATAAGTTAGAAACATAGAGAAGTAAGAGTTCAGATAAGCAAGAGGGCGAAAGGTCATGGGGCTGGATAGCAATGTGGAATAATCAGATCTTACTGAATGGCGGAGCAGACTTGAGGGGCTGAGTGGCCTCCTGATCCTCAATATGTTTATATGTTCATAAATGCAACGGCAAACTGCAGCAATAAAAAAAAAACTGAATGTGGGGGCTGAGTCACATCGGCACATTCTGATCCAGTTATTCTTACCCTCCTGTCCCACTTCATTCAACAATTACTTTTCGTCCTGAATTACTGAGGGGTATTTTCAATTAGCCACCCATTATGCACGCATAATTTTTAACTGATGGAAAGGACCCTGGAATGGGTGTATGATGCGCAGGCAGTATTCACTTTAGTGTTTTTGTTGATGCTCGTGACTACCCTGACCGACTCCATATGCAAAATGAACTGGCTCCCTATCAGTACCCTGTTTTTGGCCTACAGGTATGTGGCATGTGCTTCAAGCGAAGAGGAACACAATCTGACTGTCTTTCAGTACCGCAGTAAAATTTACTACCGGGTGTGCCAGACAATTACTGCTGGAGCCGAGCTGCTGGTGTGGATTGGAGAGGAGTACGCTAGGACCCTGGGGCTAAAACTGGGTAAGGACTGATTGGGATATCTGTCCTAGTGAAATGTTCAGCTAGAAATCAGTAGTTAGAGGACGGCTGAAAGGTGTGTTCTTCTCCCCATAGGTGAACACTTCAAGTATGAGTTTGGCGAGAAGGAACTGCTGATGAAGCTGTTTCAAGACCTTCAAAACAAAGTTCCTGATGGGATCGCGAGCCATGTTAACCCCCGTGAGCAATACAACTGTAGCGACTTAGTAGCCTCCATCATCCATGCCCACAAGGCCAACCTGCAGAGCGGTGGCATCTGCCACATGAACAGGGATGCCCCGAGCACCATGCTGGAAGGAACCCAGAACCTGGTGAGTCTGGGGCGGGCGCAGAGCCGCTATTGGACCTTCTTTGGTTTCCAGGGAGACGCCTTGGGGCGTATCCTTGACAAGACTAAAATTATTTGCAAACTGTGTGGGGTCCGGTTGTCATATAGCGGCAACACGACCAACCTGAGGCAGCACCTGATCTACAAGCACAGGCATGAATACAACGAGCTGGTTGGCGGCACCTCTGCACCACAGAAGGGTGTAGATCCGTACCCACAAGATCTTACATCCAGGACTGTGAAAGGGGTCACGCCTCCCATTGGGAGAACAACCAAGGCCATTTTGGAGTTCATTGTGACTGATCTACTGCCATTGAAGACCATCGAGGGGGAGGGTTTTGTCCAGATGATGAGTGTTCTGGAGCCCACCTACAAGATTCCCACCGTAAGTTTTTTTGCTCAGTCTGTCTTGCAGGACATGCACAACCAGGTGAAGCTGAGGGTGATGGACTCCATGAAGCCGCTGCATCACTGCGCGGTCAGCATTGACCTGTGGAAGCATGAGTGTGCTCGCTCCTACGTAACAGTTATTGTCCACCACATCGATGGGGCCTTTGACTTCAAGCATCAGGTGCTGTCCAGCCGCCCTGTCATTGAGGAAACCACAGCGGAGAACATCAAGATGGCCCTCCTGGAAATAGCCAATGAGTGGGGCATCCAGGAACGGACCTCATACTCCGTCATGGTCAGCAATGTTGACGTCAAGCTGGCTGCCTCCAAGATGGGTTGGAAGACCCTCCCGTGCATTGGCCACGTGTTGCAGAACTGCGTTGACTCAGCCCTGCAGCAGCCCTCGATCCTCAGGGTGCTGACTCGGTGCAAGAAGCTAATGGAGTCCATCATCTCCTCACCTTCCTTGAGGGACAAGCTGGGCTCCAGTGAGCCTTTCCTGAAGATCCAATCCAAGATGTTCCTCAATGGCAACATGAAGTGGTACAGCACCCACAGTGTGCTGCAAAGCCTGCAGGACCATCGGCATTTCCTTGACGGACTGAGCGAGAGCCTCCAGGAGAAGGGCTTGGCGCTGAGGCTGGACGACTGGCAAGTGGTCCATGATATAGTGGACATCCTTAAGCCCCTGGCCATTGCCACCTCCACCTTTACCAAGGACCGTTTCTCCAGCCTGTCGCTGGTGAAACCAGTGATTACCAGCCTGGTGTACAAGCACTTGGCCGCCAACGAGAGCGACTCAGAGTTGGCCCACGATATCAAACAGACCATCTGTGCCGACCTCAATCAGTGGTACTCTGACCACGAAGTCAACCAGGTCCTCAACCTGGCTTGCGCACTGGACCCACGTTTCCGAGGGCTGGACTTCCTCAGCCAGGCTGAGCGGGTGGAGACCCTCCATGCTCTCAAGCGCGAGGCCTCTGAACTGGCACGCCTACACCCGCCGGCCAGGGGGCGGTCCAGCCCAGAACTGTCCAGCGCCAGCCCCAACCCGACCAAGAAGCCCAAGCATGACTCGGGCATCGAGTTCCTGCTGGGGGACCTGTGCAACGTGAGGAGCGTGTCGGCCAACTCTGTCCACCAGCAGGCCGAGCAGGAGATTAGCAACTTCCAGACCAGTGAGGCATCCTCCCTCTGTCAGGACCCGCTCTTGTGGTGGAAGACACACCATACCCAGTACCCGCTCCTCGCCAGTGCAGCGAGGAAACTGCTTGCTGTACCAGCGACTGTGGTGCCAGCCAGCTGGATATTCACAGAGGCAGGGCATGGCATTTATAGCAAACGCTCAGCTCTTGCCCCTGAGCATGTGGACATGCTGGTGTTTATGCACGGAAATCATAAAACTCCTTAATGTGTGTCTGTGTGTGGAAGTGAAATCTCATATATTCCTGAACCTGCTTCTCCTTCTGGCTGTGAAGGGTGGGGAGATATCTGCCAGTGTTTGCTGGTGTGCTCCCTGGTCCATCTGATTTGAAGGCAGGAAGAAAACCTAGTTGTACCTGCGTGTTCGCAGCTGTTGGGAATGTAACCGCTGCACTGGGCAATTCCAAGGAGGGATAGAGCTCTGTTTGTAGAATCAGTTAGAGGTGCAGAACTTGAATATTACTGAAAAGGGGCACATGTTGCCAAGGGTTTTTCATCTTGCGCCCACCAGGATAGACTCAAGAATGCCAAATTTCAGATGATCACAACAATTTATTCTATGACATGTTGATTTGTTGGCAAGGTGACTGTAATTGCTGAAGGTGTTGCCATTAATGAAAGGAACAGAGAGCTTCCTAAGCTCCTGGTTATATCAAAGAAGGTGCAAAGCTTGAAAATATTCCTCCTGTTTGCAGAGAATGGTCACTGTGTCAGAATGTATGTGGCTTCCAGTGAGTATAAATGAATCATGTTACAAGCTTGAAACTGCCTTAAATTGGTTATTAATTTAGCCATTAGTGCAGTTGGGACTGTTCAGCAAGTGCTGCCCAGCCATATCTAACAGGAGATAAAAAGCTTCATAAATATGCTTCACCTTTTCAACAATATTCAAGTTCTGTGTATGTTATGGTCCTTGGAGTGTCTCCGTCCATATTTCTCATTTCAACGGGGTGGATCCAGAACAATTTCTCGCTTCACCTTCCGGCTTTGATAAATCCTTCCTTGTGTTGTCCATTCCGTTACTGCATTTCCTAATCCATCTACAGTGAGGCTGTCTGCAGTCTCTCCTAGTGCATTGGATTTAAAATGAAAGCATATAACAATGGACCAGAGTGCGGGGCAAGTCATGCTCGGACTGCTTCTAAAGATCACATCACTTTGTTCATTTACTGAACACAACATCTAATATATTGTATTTATTTATATTATTTATTAAATATATTTATGCACAGGTCAGGTGATTGAACTCAGAAATGAGATCAAGTGAAAGGGGCCAGTGCAAGAGTGATACAAAGGTTTATCATAAGAATATAAAACTAAGGCAAGCAGCAATCATAAATAAGAATGAACTGTGGGAAGTGAATTGGCTGCTGTAGTGTTCACCAATATGGCCCAAAATGGCTGCCATTCCAATGAAATAACCTCACATTTTTCTAAACTCCAATGAGTACAGACCCAACCTGATAAACCTAGAGTCAGTGTTGTACAGCATGGAAACAGACTGTTCGGACCAACTTGTCTATGCCAACCAGAATAATCTAGTCCCATCTGCCAACATTTGGCCTACAAGCCCTTCCTATTCATGTACTCCTCTAGATGCCTTTTAAATGCTATAATTATACCTGCCTCCACCACTTCCTGTGGTAGCTCGTCCCATACATGCACCACCCTCTGCGTGAAAAAACTGCTCCTTAGGTTCCTTTTAAATCTTTCCCCTTTCACCTTAAACCTATGCTGTCTAGTTTTGGACTCCCCTAACCTGGGAAAAAGACTTGGCTGTTCATCCTATCCATGCCCCCCATGATTTTATGAACTTCTATAACCCCTCAGCATCCGATGTTTCAGGGAAAATAGCTTTAACCTATTCAGCCTCTTCCTATAGCTCAACCCCTCCAACCCTGGCAACATCCTTGTAAATCTGTGCTGCATCCTGTCAAGTTTAACAACATCTTTCTCAACCTTTCCTCGAAAGACAAACCTCTTCCACCCAGGTATCCATTTAGTTAACCTTCTCTAAGCTGCTTCAAATACAAGTCTGCCTCTCCTTAAGGAGAGCAAAACTGCACACAGTACTCAAGGAGCTTTCACCAGTGCTTTTACATTTGTGGCAAGACTTCCGTCTTTGGATACTCAATCCATCTTGCTATTAGGGCCACATTTCTATTCTCCTTCCTAAGTACTAGCTGTACCTACATATACAAAGATAGACATACCTCATTTAGACATTGCAAATGCTTCTGGACAAAAAAGGTACCAGAAAACTTTCTTGCAGTAAGCAGCAGATCCTATCTTAAATAATCCTTGAAATCTGAGTGATTTTGTTTTTGCTAGTCCAGGATCTAAAAGGATATGCGACCAAGACAGGTGGACGGACAAGCTCTGCATGGTGGAACAGCCTCAGAGGGGTTGAACGGCCTACTCCACCTCTTTTGGCCAGTAACTCGAGTAGAAGAGTTGTTGATATGAAATGACTCTGATAAACATTTAGAATTTTAAAATTAATGTTCCACTGTTGCTGCCCCTTTTAATCATTTATGCTGCAACAGCTAGTGGGACTTGAATTCAGTGAATAAGAATCTGAAATTATTTAGTGACTGGGTCTCTACAATCAATTGTCACAAAAATCCATCTGATTCACTAAATTCCTTCAGAGGGTGAGATATGTTGCCCTTACCCTGTGTAGTTTGTATATGACTTAAGACCAACAGTGATGTGGTTGACTCTTAAATGCCCTCTGAAGTAGACTGGCAAGTCACTCAGTTCAGGGGCAATTAAGATGGACAACAAATACTGGCCTTGCCAGCAACACCCACATCTCACAAAGGAGTAAATAAAAATGGAATAAAAGAAGATTAGACACAGCCCAAAATGTAAACAGGGAGCTGCTTATGGAAGAGATTTTGGGAGGCTGTATTCACAGTGGACTGGTGGTCTCTATGGAGGTGTGGGCTGTTGGTTTAACATCACGCTGAATAATGCAGATCAAAAGGGCCCTTACATGGTTTGGTCCCCTTTAGAGAGGGCAAAACTAATTTTGAAATTCAGGGAAGGTTCATTCATCTCAATTCCTAGAATGAAAGAGTTATCTTATGAGGAATGGCTGAGCTTTGGAGTTCAGAAGATGAGGAATGATCTTTTCGAAGATTCTGATTCTGAAGGGACTGGGCAGGGTAGATGCTGAGAAGGTGGACCCCCTCATGAGGAGGTCTCGAACTAGAAGCAACAGTTTAAAAGGTAGGGATCTCCTCATTTAAGATGGGATGAGGAGAAACTTCTGAGGGTCATTACATTTGGATTCTGTACTCGGAGAGCAGTGATGGTTGACTCATTGGCTGAATTAGACAGATTTTTCATTGACAAGGAAGTGAAGGGTTATGGTCTGGCGGACATGGGGTCGTAAATAGGAGAGCGGAGTTGAGGCTACAGTCACGTTAAGCTCAAGGACCAAATGGCATAATCTTCCATCTCTTGTGAATCATCGTGCATGTCCTAATTCCCTGAAGTATCAATCTGATATAACCATACCTTCCTGTGACTCAGGCTGAGTCCTGACAGAAGCACACCACTAGCTGTAAAAAAAAAAAAAAAAATTCTGTCCTCCTCGCCTGAAGATGCTGTTTCATGGGCTCTTTCCAGAGTGACAAGATGAGGCCGCTCAGCCCTTCAAGCCTCTAATGCCATTCTGTCCCACCATGGCCTCAACTCAACTACATTTACCTACTATGACTTCAGTAGACTTCCGACATCCTTGGGAGAGAATGTTCTGGATTTCCACAACCAATGTTGCAAGGCAGAGAGAGAGAGCTTCTTGATTTTGTGCATGAATGGCCTAGCTCTAATTGTGCTCCAGTTGTTCTAGGTTGTCTGGAAGAAATAGTTTGTCATTATTCATCTCATTGACTTCCTTAGCACCTGAAAAGGGATTCAATGACATTGCGCCCTCCCCATCAACCTTTTGGAGTGCTGGAGGAAACTACAGCCTCCTCCCTCAGCCCCGCTCTACTGTACCTTGTTCACTGCCCTGTTGCTTATGGTCCTTGATCGTGTGTGGTTATTTGAATATTGTTAGCAGGATGGTTTTAAACCGCTTGCATTTTAACTGGTATGAATTAATGGAACTGAAGATTCTGGTCTGTTTGAACAGTAGGGGAGCTGCACAACTAGAGTTATAAATTGGCCTGTTTCTTCCAGTCAATAAACCAAACACTACAAACACAAGTGTCAGTATTTTCTTACAGCCCCACGACTATAGCTCCACAGTTTGTCTTGCATAAAAGTCACTTTGCGATGGGACTTCTTGACTCGTGTGTCAGCTGCTCCAACATCAAGGAGCTTTAGTGAACTGTGGGACAGATGTATTTACAAGGGTGTGAACAGCAGTCAGAGGATAATGCACTTGAAAAAGATTTGTGTTTTTGTAGTGCCTTTTACAACCTCGGGACATCCCAAGGTGATTCATAGCCAATTAATTATTTCTGAAGTGCAGTCTGTGTTGTAATGAAATGCTAAAAGGAAATCTTGTGTGACACATGGATAGCAGTTTTATTTTGCATTGAACCTCCCCTATAACCTGACCTGGGAGAACTTGTTGAGATCAAACAACAACTTGAATTTATTTAGAATCTTTAATGTAATTAAAGCGCAAAGAGAACAATGGACACTGAGCCAAAGATTACAAGAAAGAGACACTGAAAGCTTTGTTAACAAAGTGGGTTTTAAAGAGATTTATTAAAGGCAGAGAAGGAAATAGAAAGAGGTAAAGGTTTAGGGAGGGAATGCCAGTGCCTGGGACACTGGTGACTGACTGCATAAACACAGTGGCTGCAAGGGCTGGTCAGTGCCTAGGAATACTGTGGCAAGTAACTCACCTCCTGACTCCCCAGAGCCTGTCCACTGTCTCCAAGGCACAAGTTAAGAGTGAGCTGGAATAATTGCTACTGGCCTGGATGGGTGCAGCCCCCAGCAACACCCAAGAAGCTGGACACCATCCAGGACAAAGGAGCCCACTTGATTGGCACCACATCCACAAACAAAGCAAGGGCAGACCCAGTGAGTTAGTGAAGAGAGGAGAACAGGTGAATGAAGATGGTGAGATCAGCTAGGAGTTGACTTTCTTTTGCAACTTACAGGCTGAAGCTGGTTACTGAAAACATGGCACTTTCCACATGACTCTCAAACAGAGGGGTGCAGCTTCTGAAACAAAACATTTGCTTCCTAAAGGATGATTTGCTTTGTGAAACACAGTTGCATTCCCCA